TTATCTAGTGATCAATTTAGTAACTGGCAACAGTATCACCCAGGTTCGAAAACAAAAATCAATCAAGGAATCATTTGCAAAATTAAACATTTACAAACAAATTTTATTGATACTAAATATTTCAAAAAAATATATATATACAATCTGAAATCATTTCCAAATGCTATTATGTAGATATCACATATGTACAAATTATTAGTTACTTCTGGTTTGAAATTTAGCAATACGAAATTATATCTTCAATAAAATGCAATTAAAAATACTAGGCACAGTGTTCTCCAAATCCAGTAAAAACTATTAAAAATAAAAGGCACATTTATCTTAAAATCTACTAAAAATAATTAAAAATAAAAAGCAAAACGTTCTCCAAATCCATTAAAAACTATTAAAAATAAAAGGCACATTTATCTCAAAATCTACTAAAAGCAATTATAATCTAATAAAAGTAAATTATTCCTTTAAAACTATTCGAAAATCGAACTTAGAGTTCTTAAATTCAAACCAAATCCCTTGAACGCCCATCGGTATTGCAGCCAGAACTTGGGGAACAGGTCAACACTCCAGTTTCTAATCGACACAGCACACTCTAACACTTTTCAGGTTTCCTTTTAGCATGGCAGTAAGCACCCGTGGATCAGCAGATTTTCAGCAATGGGACGACTTGGAAAGCAATCAGATTCAGTCGTTGGAGCTTAATGGGTATTGTACATTACGATCGGCGTGAAAGGGTTAATGGCAACGTTTGGCAATTTCCTCCCAATACTTGATCCAGCAGTTACCTCGTCTTCTAGATGGGGTTCAAAATTACATTGGCAGTGTTAAACCTAAAAATTGGATTAGCTGTTCAACGACGGCTATAAATGAAAAATATAGATGGCAGGGCATTCTTTTATTACATTAATTTTTAAATTTTTGTAACCAAACTAATTAAATATTAATTAATACAAGAGCTACTGCCAGAGTAAGAAAAATAATAGAGGCCGCATGTTCCTCATCTCTGACTTAGAGTGTTAAAAAAAATACAATTTGTTGTTTGTAAGTGATTATATTGGTCAACTTAATTTCCTCGTGATAAATATTTATTGAAATATCTGACTAATTACATGATCTTCGTAAATCGGAAGTAATACAAGTTTTTTTTTTATTGTTTTCAAAATTCATGGTCAAGTTCTTCAAATTTTTTTTAAAAAAATGCTCATATTTAAAAAAAAAATTGCATTATTATTTACGTATTATATACAAGGTTGTTACGTTTAATACTTCTCTTAAAAGTGTATGACGTAACTAGAAAAAAAATTGATTTACGTAGAAGCTAAGAACTAATTTTTTTTGTGCTGTATTAAAAATTGTATTTTTTCATGCAAGCTTTACAAACTCCACTATTGTAGTAACATAATATCTTTTGTCCTTAAAGGAAATAATGATTTTTTAAAAATAGTTTTGACATAATTTGCTATCTGTTAAATTTGCTACGTCACAAATACCATCCACTTTTGTTCATAATATCAGGGTGTTACATGTTGTGGCTAAAACTTCAGAAAAAGAACTTTATAATACAGAGAATCCTCGTTACTACGACATCCAATACAACAACTCCCTTTATTACGATAATGTTTTGTGGTCCCAACAAACTTGCATGTGAATTAACGCCATGCTTATCACGATATTCTCTGAAGCGATAAATCCCTGTAAAACGATTTTTTTCCAAATTTGAACCTTATTTTCTCCATTCATTATTGATTTTCAAATAATGTAAAAAAAAATATTCTTTTATCATCTTTCGCCATTTTTTCTATCTTTTCTGACAACAGAAGACTCACTGCTGACCATCCCAAGAACTTCCATTCTTTAGAATTGCCTCCCTTATGTCTTAAGTCACAGATGTAACATTCCTATCTCAGGGTTGCCATGCACAGAAAAAAAATGAACAAAAGAGTTGTCTTTAGTAGCCTAAAGCATGAAAATAGTGGCCTAAAATTATGAAAATAGTTGCCTCAATAGGAACAAAAAATTTTCAATAATATGACTAAAATTCTATTAAATGACTTCATTATAATATACCATGATCCATTTAGTCAAGTTGACGGCCAATATGATAATTTTTAAATAAACCTTAGTGTTCTAGCACTAAATTTTTTTATAAAAAAATTAGTATACTTGCAGAACATTAAATACTTTTAAATGCTAGAATTAATGCAGAAAAATAATTTTTTGTTAAAAAAAATACCTTTTCTACTAATTTTCCCTTTCACATAATTTTTCCTTTTATCAATAATTGATTTAGCAAATATATATATTGAAAAAGTGATTACTAAAATTCGAAATTCATCATAGTATTGTATTAAAAATTGGGTTCTTTAAAATCAAGCAGAGTTTTATAGCAATAACTGTTGAAAAGGCAATTGAGAAACAAAAAAGATTCACAATGGAATCCGTGCAAATTGAGCGCATTAAAAAGTGATGACTCAAATTTGTAATTTAACATTTCTTTATTTTTTTAGAAGAAAAAGAACTCATTACTTTCAGCAGATACCGCAGTTTGCAGGTTGTCAACCCAATTTATGCTATAAAAAAACATTGCTAGGAGCACAGAAAAGTCTCCCAATAGTCTCCTTTTGCTGCAAATAGTTGCTTTTATAGCCTTTTCAGGAGAAAAAAAATAGCCGTAGTTGCCTCAGGTTGAAAATAGTTGCAAATAGTCGCATTTTAGTCACCTGTGGCAACCCTGTATCTGATTTCATTTCCTTCATGTTAGAAGCTGATCATGAGGCTCATACAACTACGAGCATCACATTAACACCAGAAGGAGACTTTTTCTGTAGAGGGTTCGGGGGAGCATTATTCACAAACAGAACTCATTTTCGTGCTTTGTCTTCAATGCATACTTTGTTGGTTGACTTGACAGTCAAAAAAATTTATAAACAAACAGAACTATCAGATTATTTTCAATAAAAACGGTTTTCAGGTATGTTTACAATCTTATTTTCTGAATTTATTTCAATCGTTTTTAATATTTAACCATAATTAACACTCTGCAAATTAACTTTTTATATACATATATAACATCTAAATTTTAAAAAAATCACATTGTGTCCCCAAAGGATGTGAGCCCTCAATATAACAAAAATATATCCCTCAACAACAATATATTTATTTGGTCCCCAAAATATTGTTGTAGTAAGGTTTTACTGCAGTTTTTATTTTATTAAAACATGCTTCAAATCGACATCGAATGTCATGCATAGATACCTTGAGTTAATAGATAGAAAGTGTTATAAAATGATTTTAAAAAAAAGTTTCCCTTATTAAACAATATAAATATTATATAAGAAGACAATAAAAAGCAATGATAGAATTAAAATTTGCATTTTTAACACCTTGCCAGCGCTGCCCGAATACAGTTTGGGCAATTACTACGTGCTTTAAAGATGCCGAAATTTTTTTCGAGCTGGAGAAAAATTAACGTTTCTATTTTGTGAAGCCCGAGACGGGTTCGTTTCTACTTAGGATACTTATTTCACTATTATCCTAATAGATGGAATTAGTGGTCCTAGTTTTTCAACGATTACGACTTCAGTCGAAGGAGGGAAATGTGGGTGGGGGTTTTGTGATATACCATACTGTAAAAGATTTGTAAAATTTATGTATTGAAAATCATATTGTTGTGTTTTTATATTATATTATAATAGTTATTATCATATTTAGCTTCAAAATTTTGTTTAATTTGCTGCTGTTGAATAAGATGTGCATGTAATTACATTGCTTTTTAATGTGTATGTAAAAATTATAAATACAGTAGTTATTGCATTTAAAATTTTATTTTTGAAATAAAAAATCATTTTCTAACTCTTATAATAATATAAAGAACAAAATTAAACAGTTAAAAAAATTTTCTATTTTTGGTCCATTTTTCTGAAATATATGTTAAGGGGGTTAAGGGATTAAAAAAGCTGATGCAAAAATATATATTAAAATTTTTAAAAAAAGAGAAGAAAAAAACTTTATTAAATAAGTTTATTTTTGGGTAAAACAAAGAACTTTAAAGCATTAAGAAGACTAGGATATAGTATGCAGTATATTGCTACATTGTATTTATATTGTTAACACATTGCTTCTTGACATTTTATCAATTATGTTATTCCAGAATACCTAAAATCAAATTATTGTTTGAATTGCTTTAATCAATTAATTATTCTTTATATTTTTGGAAAGTGATGCAGAGACAACATCATCAAGTTGTTTAGCCATTTTGAGTTCTTGTAAACACACACAAAGATGTGAACCTAACAGAGAAAGTCTAACTTCTCTTCAAACCATATCAATAATCAATAAACAGTTAATCAATTATGAGGGTGCGTAGTTAAATCTTTCAACAAAATAAAAGAAGTACCTTTTAAGTATTTTTTAAGCACTCAGAAAATATTTTTAAGCACTATAGATAATAACAAAATGCAAAATAATTTTCAAAGTCTACATGATCATGATATGACAAAGAACTCTTTTCTTGATTACATTAGTAATTAAAAAATGATCGAGAGATTTTTCGGCTCGATTTCAGAGGGTGGAAAATGAAGCTTGAAATTGAAAGTATCTTGCAAAATGCGGCACAGTGGCATATGAGAGTGCAATAATCTCACCGAACCCAGCTTACGATACGCACATGTGGACTCACAAGTATTTCATCAAACCAGTAAAATTATTGGTGTTATGGATCGACGGTAGGCTGAAATGCATTGTGTTTGAATGATTCGTGAAAACATTGAATAGAACAATGTGAAAAGCAAGCTTTTGCATAATATGTGGTGAAAATTGACATGGGAAAGAAATAGAATCTCATTTTTGAAAAGGGAAAATTAAGCACTTTTTAAAAAAATGCTACGCACCATGATTATGTATGAAGCTTTACTAGAAAAAAAAAACATAATTAAATTATTTAGATAAAACATAATTAGAAAACATAACAAAACATAATTAGAAAAAAACATAATTAAATGATATGCATCAAGTCAAACATAGAGCATCAAAGATTTGATTTTATACTTAAAATATTTATTGATCACGACAAACAGTCAAGAAAAAGCATGAGTTGCTGTAAATATACAGAGATGAGTTTTTAACAGAGAAAGTGCTACTTCTCCACCCACAGTAATGGCATTCAATTTGCTACTCAGTTCGTCAATTATACGAATCTCTTCAAAAGACGGCTTGTCACATGATACAGAGTCTGGGATTTGTATTAAGTCTGACAAGGAATACCAAGAAAGTGATTCTGAGTCTGAAATGCTGCAGTGACCACAACAGCAAATCTTGCTGGGAGAGTCAGATTTATCATCCATTTTCCAAAGATGCCAGTATTTAGTGTCGACCTTAAACATAAGTGGAGACTCCTGGTGAGGTGAAATGGCAGTAGAGGTGAGGCTTAAAAGAAAATAACTCAGAACAGACAGTATTTTATCATCAGTGCATTGGAAATTAGCAGCAATGTCTCTTGATTCCTTTTTGATCTATACAGGAGAGAAACATGACAAAATTTTAGCTTATTTAAAAAGAAAATGAGAAAAAACATTAATTTTTAAACACTCTGTCTCCAGAAATCGTACAGTAGCAATCAGGTAATTTCTAGGTGGTTTTGTGGTTTTCTTCTTTATCAACATAAACCAGTTTATTTCAGAAAGTCCTAAATTAGGAATGCACAACCTGCGGCCTGCCAACCCTCAATGAACATTAAAGAATGAAAAGATAAGTAAAGCTGAGAGTAGCATTTGCAGAAATTCTAACATTAATATTATATTTCATTCTGATTCAAAAATTTAAAATCGATTATGAGAAAAACAAGTCTGAAATAAAACCATTATGTATTTCGTGATTATTTTTCCTAAAACATGATGCTACAACAGTAATAATTATAATATTCTTACATTCTTTAATAATACCTTATAATATTAAAATTTTTTTACATTAAGAAAAATAAATAATTTTTTTAACAATTTACAAGCAAAATTATTAAGATACTTTTAATGGAAAAAGTAGTTAGTGGTGAGAAAAAAGTGTCTACCAGATAAATTTCCCAGTCTTGAAAGCGCAAAATTGTGCAACAGCCATTCTTGGAAAAGACTTTCTGGGAATTAAAAAAATTAACACAATTTTGGTCACTGTATTGGAATGAAGGCTCAGTTCGGATGCTCTGACTGGCCTTAATAGTACTGCATCTGTGGAGCAGCAGATGGGACTTCATGGTGCAGTCGTCATAATGGAAGGGCTGCACTAACGGAAGATCATGCTAAAGATTGTAGATTGTATATGCAGTGGTGAAACAATTTTTTTTTTTGTTTGTAATAAAAAAATATCTAACAAAACAAATATAACCAAACCTAATCAAAATATCATCTGATATAAGATCAATATATGGAAAATAAGCACAACCTATATCCTAAATAAAGAAAATGGTCACTTGTCCAACACCACAGCTAACCAGTCAATCAACATGCCTAATAGGGTGTATGATAAACTCCAACAGCTACACAACTCTCACATCAGTGTATTCTACTGTTTACTAGAAGTGACAACCCTACCCACTTTTGCACCAAGGTACCCTTGAACTCATCAATAGTCATTGGGATTAAGGTCAGGAGACCTCACAGGCCACTCTAATCATTGAATATCCAACGATTGGAGGATCACCTTTGTAGACAAGAGTTATAGTCCATAAAAATTAAATTTAGCCCATATGCTCAGCGAAAAAGTCTCACATAGGGTGCAAGGATCTCGTCCCTGTACCACTAACGTGTCAGACCATCTCTATTGAACACAAGACAGTCATGTTATGTGTGAAATAGATGTTCCTTTTGCATTATACAGGTTGCGGAACAGTTGTATCGCTGTCACGGACTTATCCCTTTTGGCTGGAAGTCTCAAATAACGCTCTTTCGCCAGCATTGTTACCTCTTTGCGGCCTTGAACCGGTCAGCAGACACCACATTTCTCAAAAACGACGTCAGCCAACAGGTAGTCTGTTACTGGCCCATTTTGAACTTTTCAATTATTCATCATTTCGTGGCATAGTCCAGGTAATGATAACTGGTTATATTAACAATGGGTAAACAAAGAAATTCAAAAACCAAAGATTGTGGTAAGCTTCAATATTACAAACATTGCTACACTACAAGTTTTGGTGAGCAAATGGGGTACTTCTACACAAATTTGAAAACAGTGTCACTGCCTTATAATGTCACAGGCCACTGTGTAGCAGAAGTGTCTGCAAAGAGCTTAGCTATCATCTGTCTGAAACCTTATTTGCATATAGGAATTACTTATTTTATTCTTTTCTTCAAAAAAAAAAACTTTTCTCCCTTTAATTCTTTTATCAGTGTATAATATTCGGGGGAAATATAAGCTAATATAATTTTTTTTAGTCCTGGTTTAACCTGATAAATTATATATATATACACACTACCCTATAATAATGGTAGAGAAAATTTCAGTTTTTGACATTTTTTTGAAATTTCTCAAGAAGTACTAAAAGGATTATTTTATAACTTTAGCAATAAGATTTAAAGCTTTCAGAGGTTTAGGAGACTGACAATAAATTACAAAAAAAAAAAAAACAAGTATTTTTGAGCACGCTATGCCAGAAAATCTAGCAATAAGCTTGTAACTTGTATCCATTACTTTAGTTGTTATTTTTAATAATTGCATAAAATTTTGTACACCTAGAGTAAATATTAATGGAAATATGGACATCTTTAAAAAAAAACTTATTTTTTTGCCTTATGAATTTTCGCTCTAACTTAATAAATATTCAATGAAATCAAAAAAAAATTTGGAACAGTTTAAATTAATTACAAGATTTTTTATTTAAAATTTTTTTTAAAAAATGTTTTAATTTTGCAGTGATTGTATTTGGCAACTAACGTAAAAAATTTGATTTGAATATTTCTTTTTGTAGTTTTTGCAGTTTTTAAAAGAAAGCGTTAATTGATTAAGGGTTTTCCACAAATTTTATTTTGTATCTCATAAGACAAAGTTTAATAAAAAATCATACCTTATAATAATCATCTGGAAACTAAAGTGTGAAAGAAAACATCCTTTCATGGGGAATGATAACCCACATACCAGTCTCATTTTTAATAAATCTTGTTTAATACAATATGAAATACTATGAATATATACAATATACAATATGAATATATGAATATATAATACATAATGAAATTTTAGGAAAACCCCTGATGGTTTTGAGCTTTTTTTGAAAAGTTCAAAAGCTACAAAAAAAAATTAAAGTAATCGATATAAGTTAGAAGTTTATTACTTAATTTTCCGGTATAGGGAGTAAAAAAATACTTGTTTTCTTTCATAACTTATTGTCAGTCTTTCATACTATTGAAAGCTTTAAATCTTATTGCTAAGTATGAAACGTCGCACGAACTAAGCATCTCTTAAGTTATAAAATAATACTTTAAATATTTCTTGAGACATTTGAAAAAAATGTCAAGAGCTCAAAGTGTCTCTTCCATTATTGTAAGGTAGTGTATATGCTTATTATTTATTGCTCTAGAACAGGGGTGGCGAACCTTTATGCACCAATGTGCCATTTTTTCTAAAAAAAATGTTGAATGAGATCATAGACCTGCCGTCGAATAATTTTGACTTCGTGATTTTTGGGAAAATAATGATACAAAATAGTATCAACTCAAAACTATTTATTTACTATGAAAAAAAAACATTTTACAATGTCTCAGTTATACGCGTAGTTCAACTTAAAGTAACATCAGTGTGACTTCTGTTGTTGCAGATAAGATGACAAATAACATATATTAGGTTGTAAGATGTTAGATTATGCAGGACTGTTAAATTTTTTTTTGCTAGTCATTTATTGTTAGCTTGTTTTTAATGGTTATTAATTGTTTTTTGACACTAATTGTTAATTTTTTGTCAATAATTGCCTATTTTTTTGTTCTTTGTGAATTATAATTTAATTGTTAATATGCTTCATAGTGAACTTTGTGATCGGTGGCGTGTCCAAAATATTGTGTCGCGTGCCATTGGTTCGCCATCCCTGCTCTATAATAACTTCATGAAGCATGGTGTAAAATAGTTGAAAAAAGGATCTGCTATTTATTTACTTTCTGTAAAAACAAAATGAAAGTAAAGAAATAAAATTTGGTATCAACATGATTTAAACCCTTATGTCAGTTTTAACCACTTTTTTTATTATCATTTTTATCATTTATTTATTTAAGGCTTGTCAAAATCAAAAACCAGATTTTGAAATAAAAAAATCCAAAGCTGTTTTGGTAATAATATTTGCATTGTTTATAGCCCTATAATAGTTTCGTAGTGCATTTTATATAATTAGAAAAGTAAAAAAAGACAGCTTGCTGTTTGCTTACTTTTTGGGTTAACAATAAAGCAGTAAAGATATCAGTACAGCCAGCCCCAAAGCATACTTTTGGATTTTGTAGAAGGCGAAATAGTGTAGCAATAACTTGTTCACAAACAACCTAAGGACACAAAAAGAATTTCACAATCCAATTAAGGTAAAAATAAATAAATAAAGGAACAAAGAGCAGATATTGAAATAATACAGTTAACTTATTTTTACTACCCTTAAAATATTTTCTCACTAAAATTTCAAATTTAGAGGTGATTTAGAAAATTCTAATTTAGTATTAGTTAAACATATTCTTTTATTTTATAGCCATGATTGAACAGCCGACCCAATTCTGAGATTATGACTACCGATGTTCAACTCTGTATCCTTGTAAATTTGATCCCAATCCAGAAGACAATGGAGCTCCTGGATCAGTACCCCTAGAGGAATTGATTTGTAATGAGAACATGGAGGACTTTGTGACTCACCAGATTTAACGTGCATCAGTCATCATTTACTACACAGGGATTCTTAGGCCGGTGGGGCAGATAGATTCAGAGATATAATGGACAAGACACAAATTTTTTTTATGCCACTTTTTATGCCGATGAAAAGCAACTTTCAGGGGTTTAAGTGGTTTTGATTTCATTGAAGAAGCAAGCATAAATGTACAATTTTTTTCCTGAAATCTAAAGTTCCAACTGTTTTTACTTAGTAAAAGCTGAGAAAAAAATACAATTAGTTATTTTTAAAATATAAATTTGGCGAGAAAGAAGAAATATTTATGTGGGGCAATTAATAGTTGAATGTAGTTCACTTATGAAGAATTTGACTTACACACATGTAACAAAAAACTTCATTCATACTTTTTTCTGCTGATAGCAGATTGTTAAACTTTTATTTTTAATTATGAAATATGATGCTTATTTTAAATGCATCTGAAAATTTATTAGCAATTTCGGAAAGAGACTTGAAAAAACATTATATTCAACGAATGTTCAGTTTCATAAAAGCATGTTTCTGCTAGAAAGTGACTATACATCTAAAAAATAATAAATAGTTTTTAGCCATTGTAGTTTTTCTAATTTTTTTTTATTTCATTTCTTATTTTCTATTTAACTCTCGGATAATAAAATTTTTCCAGTTTTATTTTTCACTTTATTTTCATTTTTCGTTGGCAACTTAAGAATTTCTGTTTCAAATCATTTTTGCTTTCCTTATTTATGTCTGGCAAGTCTAAAATGTTCATTTATTTTTAAGCGCTTGAAACACGTTGATTTTTATTACCGTGTTCATACGTTTTTTATGCTAATAAATTATTTTGATCATTGTATCAAGTATACTGTATTACATTTGGATTAATCAAGTATACTTGGGTCTTGATTTATTATTTTGATCATTATCTTATGCTGACGGAAGCAAACATTTGTATACTACTATTCTCAAAAGGTACACATGGTCCCTAAAACATTAAGAAAACCGGCATCTTTATTGTGATCTTCAACTTTAAAATTTCAAAAAAGATTTTGTAACTAAATGGAGTTGTTGAAATTGATTATTGAATGTTATGGTGAATATGAAAGTAATAATATACATCTATCTTCTTAGTATTGTAGATATCATTACAGTTTCTAAAGGACCTTACGAACTCTGCTTCAAAGGAGACTATCATATCAAATATATGTATGTAGTGATGGCAAGAATTGTAAATTAAATTTGTAATAAAAGGAATGAAACAAAGAAATTATAGCAGCGATATTTGGAGACAAATATAGCTGCATAATGGAAGAACATGTTGAACGACATTTTATGGTGAATTTATAAAAATCTATTTCAGAATGTATAGAATCATAAGTTGACCTTCCTTGGATGAAATTATTTAAAATATAAAGATTTTATTATATGGTTTAGATAATATAATCATTAAGGGAAATTTGTAAATATCTCGAGTTCATTTCAGGTAACTAGAGTAACCATATTTTAAATTCTATGAAAACTTTTATTAAAATTTATCAAGTTTTCTTTTCTTTCATAAATATGAAAGGTAGGCATTATTCATTGTAATTGAGTAAAAAAATTGTTCTAGCTAAAATAAAAAGCTTATAAGTAAAAGCAAATTGATGTACAACACCATTATACATGTAACAAGAGTAACCAATTAATTGTCCAAATGATTTCATACAGTGTGCATAGCCAAATCCTTCAACAAATAATAAGAACCTTTAAAGTATTTTTTAAAAACTAAAAAATATTTTTAAGCACTATATACATTAACAAAATGCAAAATAACTTTCAAAGACTTTACACATTTATGATAAAATAGCTAGTTTCTGACAAAGAACTCTTTTTCTTGATTATATTAGCCACCATAAAAGGATCGAGATTTTTCGGTTCAATTTCAGAGGGTAGAAAAGGAAGCTTGAAATTGAGAATATTTTGCAAAATGCAGCAGAGTTGCACATGAGAGAGCAAGAATCTCACCGATCCAAGTTCATTATATGCACGTGCGTCCCTGCAAGTATTTCATCACGGCGCTTTCATACGCTGCGAGTCAATGGTTTGCCGAAATGCATTGTGTGTGTGAATGATTTGTGAAAACATTGGATAGAACAATGTGAAAACCACTGCATAATATATGGCGAAAATCAAAATAAAAAAAATCAAAAGAAAAAAATCTCATTCTTGAAAAAGGAAAATCAAGCACTTTTTAAAAACATACAAACCACCCTTAAGGGCTTCTAAAAAACAAAAATTGAAAATAAACATTTTTAAGCGCTTTTTAAAAACGCTATGCATCATCGATAATTTTTCTAAGTTCATTATTCTTATTGCCAAATTGAAAACAAATTTTAATGTTAGCAGAATCTTAGAGATCATTAAATAGCTGTGTCGAAAATATATACCTTCATTTCCGAGAGAAATTCTTGATTGGAGTGGCAAAGGATGATACTAGAGAAGTTGTGTTCCTCTTTCTGAAGGAGAATATAATGCTTTTTTCCAATTTCTTCCTTAAAACATTTGATGCTCTTAAAACACAAATCATCAACGTTGTGAAGTGTAGCAATGACACAGTCATCTGATAGGGGTGAAAAAATACAATAGTATAAATATAAAATTAATTTGAAAAAGAGTACAAGCAAAGAAATTATTTCCCTCACCTAAAAAAACTCATATAAGGTGTTTTTTAATGACTACCCTTCATACGTATTTTTTTAATCCTTGTAAAAAATGAAGTAAAAGCAGAAGCTTTCAGTTGAAAAATTGGGAAATTTTTAACAGTGACCACTTTTTTCTAAAAACGTGGGCATCATCATCATCATATTTGGCTAGACAGCCCAGGGTGGGCCAGTGCCTTCCTTTGAATTCGAATCCACTTCTCTCTACTTTTGACACTTGTTCGCCAGTTTTTCTCCTTTAGNAGTTGAAAAATTAGGAAATTTTTAACAGTGACCTCTTTTTTTTTAAAAAACATGTGGGCATTTTTTCAAAAACTGAAAACTTTAAATTATTGAAAAAAAACTATTAATATGAATAACGTAAGAAGGCATTTCTTTTGAATCAATTCTCAAAATACGATAAACATTACAAAGTTCCTTTCATACTAAAGAAAACTTTTACGAAACAAAAGTGAAAAAAAGTAATTTTAAGATATTTATAATTTCATATTTATTAAAAAAAATATTATATTTGTTTCTAAAAAATATAATATANGTTCCCACAGGTTTCAGACTGTTCAGAATTTTACTTACCTTGGTTCAATTGTTACTGCCGACAATAACATAGACAATGAGATTCGGAGTCGTCTAATTTGTTCAAATAAGGCTTTTTATGGTTTAAAACGTTTTTTCAAAAACGTCGGCATTTTTTCAAAAAGTGAAAGCTTTTAATTATTGAAAAAAAACTATTAATATGAATAACGTATGAAGGCATTTCTTTTGAATCAATTCTCAAAATACGATAAACATTACAAAGTTCCTTTCATACTAAAGAAAAATTTTACGAAAGTGACAAAAAGTAATTTTAAGATATTCATAATTTCATATTTATTAAAAAAATTATTATATTTGTTTCTAAAAAATATAATATAATATTCCTTAAATATCTAATTTACAGCTTTAAAACAACAATATTGTATAAAATTTTTAACCACTACCCCCCCCCCAATGGCTATGGAGACTTGTCTCCCTGACAATTATGGCCAATGTATTATTGAAGACTCAAAATTAAATTTTTTATTTAATAATAGCTATAAAAAATTTTAATATCTTCGTCATTTGTTGGAGAGTACTGAATGAAGGTAATTAACTAAACTCAATTAATGTAGTTACTTTACAACAACGTAAAATACTTTTCCTTCTTTCTTTAACTTTTCGTGTTACATCATATTTTAGCAAACTCAAATTGATGAAATACTCATAAGTGTTCGAAAAAGAAATTAACATCATTTTTTTAAGGAGGTTTCGCACATTTCTAATAGTGACAAAGAGAAATAAAAATCCCACTTAAATGTCTGATGAAGCATTTCTACATTAAAAATAAAAAAAAAGCAATCTTACTATTTTTTGCAAGTGGCCCTAAGAAAACCTTTCTTATTTAATATATTAGTTGGCTAACCATTTAATCAAAATTTATTAGGAATTTTAAATTTTTCCTCATAGTTTACACACAATTATCAAAGATTACCTAACAAATACTTCAAAAATGTAGTAGTTTCAGTGCCAAGTTGATCAAACACTGTGATTCCCTCATCATTCAGATGTTTTTTCACACTAGGGTCAACAACTTTTTGGCAAAAGACGACGTCAACCTTTGCCGAAACAAGCTTGCCTTCCAACTGTTTTAAAGAACCATGTTCATCAGAAGACAGGGGAGAAGTAAACAAGGCGACCTTCAAATGACGATGAGGTGGACGGAATAACATCCAATCTGTTTTGGAAACTCGTACAAGAAGCATGTTCAACATGCGGGATTCACTCATATTACGTCCTTCCAGAGTCAGGAATCTAAAGTTCAAATGGCTTGAAGGAAAAATATTTAAGAACAACTCCAGCAACAGAGCACACAACTGATCCCTCTGGGAGCTGGATAGCAAGCACTCGAGTTTGGAGGATATTATCGTTCGTGTGACAGCTTGCAAATGTTGAAAATTAGAGGGATCGAGTTTCCAAACGCAATGATTTTCGACCGAGTTCAAGCAAGCGATGTATGTTTCAACACAATACTCGTACAGTTTTGCCTTGAGGAACGAGGGAATATCACATAGCGATGAGTGATGAATTAGTGTAAGAGGGAATAATGCGCACAAAAGCCCACCGTCCTTGTATGTCCTAAGGTGAGATTTTACTGAAGACAGTACCATCTTATTGAAATGATTCTTCACAGAGAGTGAATGAAAAAGCCTTGATGATGTAGAGGTCACTGTGGTGTAGCCTCCAGAAGCGTTGCGAATAAGTTTGAGTTTGCCGCGAGGTCCAATGCAACTTTTCACAATTTTCAACAGCAATGTCAGTGCATCAATATTTTCTTGTTTGGATAAAGGATCATAACACAGATTTCCTACAAAATATGGCGATTCTTCCATACCTAAAACAATAACACAATAATTAAAATATGGCAATCCGATACGGGATGCAAGTTTCATTTGTCAGTGAGAGGTTAAAATCTGTCACTGTCACATAAAATATTTGTTACATATGACAAAAATGTGTTTAGGAAAATGCAGGGTTACGAAAGCAGGGTGATGAAATATATTCCCCTAATAATACCCATGTGGAAATATATTCTTTAAATTTAAGTATTTACCATTATAATTTCAGGTATTAAAACTGTTTTAGCATCTAGGTGTATTTACTTCAATTTACAAATATATTTTGGTAAACAGGAATTAGTAAAAACAAATTATCTCTTCAATATTACCCAACCAATTTTTAAATTTTTCCCGATTGTAGTCATCCAATGTTAATGATCACTGGCATGTAGAGGGGGAGCAATAACCCCATAATTCTAGGAATTCAGCCAAAATGGACCCCCATGGTAGAATCCCGACGATACTGTCGTAGAAGGTTACAGAGTTCTTGCAGAAAGAATTTCCCCTAAGAAAGAAAAAAATTTTAATTTTCCTTTCTGCAAAAATTTTCGAAATTTTTTTTCTTCTCTAAAATTATATTTAAAATATGCCTTTTTCGTGCAACGGTGGGGAAAGAAATGTTCTTAAATTTCAATTCTTATTTGAGAAGAATGAAAAATAAGGAATATTGAAGCAAAAAAAAATTTCTGAAGAAATTTTTGAAAGATTTTTTTTTCCACAATTATACTCATAGAACCTTTTTCCAGCATCAGAGGGAAAGCAATGATCGTGATTTTTATTATTCCCTTTTGGGAAAAATAAAAAAAACTTTGGCTTTCTTTTCTTTCACTGATTTTACAATTTTAAATTATGTTTTTTTCATGTGATGATTTACGAAATGCGAAAAAAGAAATAATTAGTGTGTTTTCCTCTTACAAAATCTAAAATCATCACCCATGATATTAGAATAAAAAATATATTACATATTCATTTTAAAAAATATACATATAAAATTTTATTACATCCAAAGAGACTTTTCGTAGTAAATACAACTTTTCTGTTACTTTAAATTTAATTAACAACAAGTATATTAGTTATTATTAAAAGTATCTTACAGAAAGATATTACGCTTAAAAGAGAGGTTTGTCGCAGAAAGCCCAAAAGGACCTTAAAACAATTTTTAACAATTATTTTGCAATTAAATTTAACAGATACATATTTGAAGATATTTTATAAAATATAATACAAATTTTAAAAAAATTTCAAATGAATTTAATGTGGGTTGATAAAATGAGTACCAAGCATGCTTGGGGACTAAACACTGTGGCTTCCACTTTTGTCTGACCACCCAACTGAAACATAAGCTTCATGCTTCAACACCCCTGAGTCCAGGGTCAAGAAAACTCGGATGAGCACAATAGACCTTGGCCCTCCTTGAACTGTCCTGATGCCAAGTTCAGTTTGTATAATGATAGAATAAGTCATGGGTGATAGGTTCGAAGAAGTTTAAAAAAGCCCTCCCAGACATCTATACACCTCAGTATGCCACATTTCATTATTCCAGATACATTTCATATGAGGGATTATGTATGTTTTTATTCAAACTTCAATTTAAAACATCTGATTATTCCTCTTTAATTAGGAAATCTCCTCTTTAGCCATTATAAATAAGTAAACCACTTGCAATTTTTGGGTGGTTTTATTCACAAAGTACAGTAAAATTCATAAGCGGCATATTGGAAGAAATCCACTTTAAAGATGAATTTCAAAGTCGATGTCAAAGTGCCAATTTTTAAGATGCTAAACTTTTATCTTTATAAATTAATATTCCACTATTACAATGAAAGTTTCTTCAGGTCAATGCATGTTTCTGCAGTTTAAATAAGCAATATTATAAGAAAAAAGTTTCAATAAAACACATTTTTATTTCTTTCTTGTATTAATACAGAAAAGTGAAAAAGATTATTTCTTTTTCACAATTTTAGATTTATATTTCTATAAAGCAATGTGCAGGTGACCACCAACTAAGTTATCTTCTTTCTAACAAAATATGCACTTTAATTTTTTCTAGTAAATATTTGTCTAGGAAGTTTATTCTTACTACATATCTGTTCTCTAATTGTTAATTTCCTTACTTGTTACTCTCATGAACACTTATTTGTACCAATTGGGTTTATAATATAGACCACGGGTTTCCAACTTACATGAGGCCGAGGGGCCACAATTAAAAACGCAAATCAAATGGCGGGCAGCAACTTTATCAAAATTTTATGTAGGTCTCTTTTATGTTTGAAGGAACATTAAATAGATTTTAGATTTTTATCAAGTTGTACAAAACAAAAGTATTGAATTACTAATTAAAATAAGAAGTAGATTTTTAAAAATATTTAATTGCATATTAAAAAATTCGGGCTACAATAACTTTAATGTGCCCCCATGTATTAAACAATTAATGTGCAACAGATATTTAATTGTTAAGATATAAAATTTTAAAAAGGTTGGTATTAAAACCTACATAGTAGCACACAAAATGTTCAATGACAAAATGTTTGTCTGCTGTAGCCACCAGAGAATAGATATTTACATTTTAAATTTAAAATTTACAAATGTGTGTGTAAATATTTTGTCCAAAATGAGTGGTTTCAAAAAGTTAAATCAGAGAATTTATTCAAGAAAATTTCTGATACACGCATGCTAAATTATAATCACAAAATACAAAAAAAATAAAATAAAAAAGAGCAACATACAGAATTACTTTTGTATTTGAATAAATATTTTCTTGGATGCAAAACCTGAGAAATAAATTTTTTTGCACCTTTGGTATGATAAATTTTACAGAAAGTGAGAAATTAGGTTTGTATTATCGAGAAAAGTATTTTAAACCCATACAAATTTTTTTCGAAGATAGTCCGCAAAAAATGACAACTAATATATTTTAGTTCGCTGGCCACAAAAAAATGCGGACCCCAGTTGAAAACCACTGATATAGACTGTTGCGTCATGTTTTTCTGTAGATATGAAGTTGAAAATTTTGACTCTTTACACATTTAATAATTTATATTTATTTACACAATCCTTAATAATTTATAGGTGATAAGGAGCACTCATATTACTGTTACTTTAGGTCTGTTGTGTGAAAATATTTTAATTTGTAAAAGGGGTTATAAGGAGTATTTGTAAAAGTAAATGTAAAAGATTAACTGTTATCTTCCTTAAACTTATTGAATTAGTTTTTTGTGACAAGAGTTTTGCAGTCATTAACTTGTAACTTCTTAACATGCAATTGAATGTTTATTGCATATTTGTATCGTAAATAAATTTTGGTCTAAAATATTTTTAAAAATTTTTTTAATTAGACTTTTAAGTATTTGATAAGAGTAATAAGAAAATAGTTACAAAAATTTAAAAAGCTTTTGTTTTTCTTATATTGTAATTATAAATAAAGTTATCATAAATATAAACGATGCCTTTCTTATTCCAAATTCGATGAAAATTAATATGGTGAAAAAAAGTTTTGATAAACCTATAAATGTTAACTGTAATATTACTGAAAGGTTTTATATTCCATCTTTCTGAAAGTTCTTTTTTTTACTTTTTTTTTCACTTTAAAGAGTAACATATTTTAAAAACATATTGGTTTTGATATTAGCCAATATCAAGAAAATAAATCAGGATCTGGCTGATAGTCATTGTCACTCCTTATGCATGTAAGGCCAAGTTTAAAATGAAATTGTTCCAGTAATTTTATTTATTTCACTTTTTCTGCCTTTTAGTCATAGTTTCAGTTTTTGTGATAGTTTTTAACTGCATAAACATTCTGAGATTTATTAAAATTGTTTTAAATTATAGCATTATTTGATGAACCTTACTGAATTAGCTAACTAAACATTCCATTCAATTAAGTTTTTATCTGATAGTTTTCAAGTTAGTTTTCTTATGTGTGGGTGACCACCAACTAAGTTATCTTCTTTCTAACAAAATACGCACTTTGCTTAATTTTTTCTTGCAAAAAAATTTTTAAGGATATAGACATTTCTGCCTTTCATAAAGTACAGTGCAGCTTTTGAGAACTCCTCCAAACTAAAAGTCTAGGGATGTCAGCTGCAATGGTAACAAGCGAGAGCACATTTCTAATGGAGGTGCAATGGAGGAATGAAAGTGTTGATAGGTTTACTCAAGCTGACCTATGCCAAGATCAAGACATAACTATTCCTCCCACACCCCAATTCGAGGTGAATTTTCCTCGTAACCATGGTACCTGCTGCGATGAGAGACAGAGAAGTTCTCCTGAAAGCCGCACTATACAAAGCTCTGTAATTTCAGTCTGAAACCTATTGGCAAAAGCAGACTACTCTAGATATAAAAGAGATTTAGAATCTTGCTTTAAACAGAACAAACAGTTTTACTATGCTAAATTTTAGTGGTACAGTACAGTTAATTAATTTTAGTGTAGAATGTAGAATATCATAACTACATCTTGGAGAAAAAAAATTTATATCAAAATGTAAATTTGTGCAAGTTAACTTGTCTTGATAATTTATTTTAATCATCAATTTTTTCCTCTTTCAATTATTTGTGTGATTTTTTAAATAAAAACTGTAGTTGTTAATAATTCACTTACTGTGATTAAAAATTTCAAATGAGGAAGTACGTCATTTAACATTTGAAAACTGTTATTAATAGGCAGTATACATTACTCAGGTAATATATACTGAAGTTATATTACCTGATATATATAATAGGTTATTATTCAGAATAATCACCAAGACCCTGCAACTTGACAGAAATTGAACTTTTTAAGAAATTACCAAAGGCAGGGCTGTCTACCCACTCATCTGCCCAAAATAATCGCTGTGGATTTTTTAAAAGAAATCCAATAAAACCCATATTTAAGTGGAGTTTTATTTGTTCTCTTTAAAAAAAAAAAACACCAGCCAAGAAGTTACAAAAAAAGGAGTTTGTTTCCCTACTTTTTTTTCCTTGTTATTACTACAGTTTTTATTATAATTTCGAACATTTTTAAATATTTTCTCTAACTATTTTATCATATTTAAGCAAATAACCCAGATAATATACAGGGTGGGTAGCCATATTTTTCAACAAAAAATAAGCACCTTTTAAGCACTTTTCAAGCACTCAAAAAATATTTTTAAGCAAAATATCATAACTAAACAAGGCTGGCAAGTTTTTGAAAATTGACGGTTTTATTTACAGTGACGAAGACGATGGCGTGTCACAAACGATGAAATTAACAAGAGAAATGAAATTTTCTATCGATTTGAGAAAAAAAATACAATGTTTAGTTGGTCCCCATTACTCCGTAATCAGCAAAAATTCGAGAAATTTTTAGATTCTATTACAGAGGGCGGAAAATGAAATCTGAAATAGAGAATCTTTTGCAAAATGCAGCAGGGTTGCACACAAGAGTCAAAAATCCTTACCACTGAATCCAGATCAGTTACACAAGTGAGGACCCACAAGTATTTCATCAAACATGTAAAACAAATGCGTTTTTTCATACACTACAGACCGGCGGTACGCTGAAATAGATTGAGGTTGAATTAATTGTGAAAACGTTGAATAGGACAAGTCTTTTTGAATAATTTGTGGTGAAATTTAACATGGTAAAGAAAATATCTCATTATCGAAAAGGGAAAATTAAGCGCTTTTTAAAAACACCCATGGAAAAAAGCACCCTTAAGGGCTTTTAAAAAACAAAGATAAGCATCTTTAAGCACTTTTTTAAAAAAGCTACACACCCTGATATAGCATTGGAGTAACTTCTAATATATTAAAATATCATCTTAAATGATAATTTTCTAAAGTTGGATCACAGAAATTTTTTATTAGAAAATAAACAAAACTGTGGCTTCTTTAAATAATGACAAGGGGCTCTACTTTGATTACTTACGTAGGTGGCACTGGTTTATGATCAATAAAATTCCTCTAAACAGAATTATATTAATTAATTTTTGTTATATAAGATTATTTTTAATTGANCCAAAATGCGAGAAATTCACGAATTTTGAAATTGATTTATAGAATGCGCGAATTTCTCGCGGTAATCATTTTTTAATACGAGAAATGAAAAAAATATGCGAGATTCTCGCGTTCTCGCGCTGTAGTGAAAACACTGGGAAGTTTCTAACATGGCAGTTTCACAATTGGTTAACATCCTCAATAAATGATGTATGACAAAAGTTTGGCAACTCTGATAAGTGTATGTAAATTTTAAAAAAAACTAACAAAATATAATACAGTTAGTGTTTATTAGATAAAGTTTCACAACAATTGTTGGCTAACTTGATAGTCTTGTAGGAATAATAGAAAATATAATTTCCTGTTATAAAGATTATTTAAATTGAAGAAAAAGAAATCCTAGTGCTGATTATAGTTGGCATTTGAAAAGATGAAGCATTTGTCACTATGAATTACACAAGATGAGTTTCGCACAATAAAAAATATTACTTTTTGTTTTATTATAGTTAAATCACAGATCATGGAGTTCGGCATTCACCCGTCTTTCACTCGCTTCAACTTGTTTCAACAATTCAAGATATTTGGCTGCTTTGATTCGAGGAGGCAAAATATCTTTTAGAAAGGAGAAAACTTCTTGATCGCCCACAACTTTTGATAAATCTTTGTAGTCAATCAGAGTCTTGTTGTTGCTGGCCATTAAAGCCTGCCGAATTAAAAAAGCAACGAAGCCTTCCGCGGCCTTTGTAATTAGAAAACAAGATTCAGGGCTGATACTTCCAACATCAGGGGAGCTTCTCATGATAGTTCGAACTCTAGATATAGGCAAAACAGCAAGTTTAGATTGTTTGTCAGTCATTTTAACGTAATTATTTAACTGCACACAAGAAAATCACTACCGATCAGTCGACTAACACAATCAAATAATCAGAGACTAATAGAGGGGATAAGGATTTTTCCCGGGTAACCGTTTTTAAAAGCAACACGCTATTGAAAGACCGGTTTTAAGCGCAAAAAGTGGCGCTCGCATCTTTAAGTTTACTTTTTTCTGACATCCCAGCTGCACCTAAACGTTGCGCGTAATGTGACGATCATTAAAACGCAGCTTAATTTAAATTCTAAAATTTTTTTATTTCTGAAAACCAGTATATTATTTTGTATATTGTTTAAATATGTCCATTCATTGCTTGTAATTTATTTGTTTGCTTATTGAAGCTTTAAAAACAGAGATCATTCAGATTGTTGTAGTTGTTGTAGTTCATTTACGTCGCACTAGTGCTGCACATAGAGTTGAAATAGTAGGTAGAGGAACCAAGTTCGCTTTATACCATCCGAAAAGACACGCCACAGATAGCAAGCAAAGAGTTACAATCACGTGATGGAAAGAGTGCAATACTTGGCGCAGTATCACAAATGTTGGCGCACTAAGTTTTTAAACAGCTTTATTTCGATATTACCNACACCCTCGGTCCCTACGCAGACTGATCCAACTGGTCACCCACCCGCACACTGACAGTAGCCAGTGATGCTTTACTTCGGTGATCTGCTGCGAACCGTGTCTTAACGATCAGTTCACTATGGGACAGATCATTCAGATTACAGGCAAGAGATTATACTTACATTTAGGTTTTGTTTAGCTTCGGTTTTCAGAATTTGGGTTAATTACAACCGAAGGAAGGATATTTGCTTATTCAATCATAGTTACTAGTTTGAAAAGTCTGGTTTTATTATAACTTAAATATAAATGCTCAGTTTTGAATTTTTTTGTATATTTAAATATATGATATACACATTTAACAGAACGAATTCAAAAGAAAAACCCTTTGAATTTTTAAGAAAAATTCATACTTTGTGTTACACAAAAAGGGAAAAAACGAAAATATCTTTCAGATTGCTGGTCGCTCGAAGAATTCCAGCTAAATGCTCAGTAATCGCAAGAATTTTTTTTCCCAATTTTTTTAGCATCTTTGTGAATATAACGAGATACACTTCATATTTTTGTAATTTTTAACTCAATCCAAAATTCAAAGTGACTCAAAATTTAAATATCCGATTAAAACCATATTTACGAAAATTATAAAAATAATCTATCTTAATCGAGACAAAATTTTAAATTAAAATTATAAAATTTTGTGTTACATGATAAGGAAAACCACAGAAAAGTTTTTCCAAATTGACTGGCTGTAATAAGATTCCAGTTAAGTGTTCGTCATTATCTCAATGAAAATATTTTCATAAATAACCATTTTTTTATTATTATTGTCCTTAATAGATAGAATATGAGGCAGGATGGCTCATGGGAAAGAGCGTTCGCCTTCCAATGAGGTGGCTTCCACTGACCACACTGCTGACGTAAGATATCACCAGTGGTAGATGGATCATGGGTTAGAGTCCCTTTGCAGTCAGGCTAACCATGGGAGGTTCTCGTTGTCTTCCTCTCCATGTAACGCAAATACGGGTTAGTTCCATCAAAAGAGTCCTCCACGAAGACAAAATTTCTCCTAATGCTTGATCCAAGAGTCCCCTTGTCTTCTGGATTGGATTCAAAATTACAAGGCTAGGGAGTTTAAGATTAGTAGTCGCATGACTCTTCTCCCTTCACTCTCCTCCTCTTTTCAGTTGCATAGGAATGTACTACGATATTTTCCCTTTTCTTAATATTTTTCCTTTTTATTTGTTAAAAATATATTTTAAAATTCCCGTGATACTTTTCTTCAGAGCTATGTTTAATGTAGTTTTCAGTTCCATGCAGTTTTCCAAACTGAAAGATTTTATTCTATATAAAAATCAAGAGAGAAATTAACGTACGTTCAACCTCTATAACTCTCCACATGCTAATGGGAAAAGCATGCGAAGTGTTGCCATAGGTAGAGAGTTCTGCTACGCCACCTGCAGCCCATTTCGATCGCCAATAATAATGTATGAAAGCTATTAGAAATAAGTCCCGCAGTGAACTGATCGTTAAGACACGGTTCCCAGCAGATCACCGAAGTCAAGCCTCACTGACTACGGTCAGTGTGCGGGTGGGAGACCACTTGGATCAGTCTGCGTAGGGACCGAGGGTGTGCGGTATTGGTCCTCGTTAAACTGTGCTACCGTAAAGTGCTCGACTTCGCGCTCAGGTCGTCGGGCTACCGAAGCGGTGGTGCCATCCCCTCCGCAGAGGATCAAAATTGTGATGGCATGTCTTCGGATCATCCTCCGGGATGTTTCCCAGACCGTCGCAAATAGGCCATTGTGCAGCTCTAGTGCGACGTAAATTAACAACAACAACAACTATTAGAAATAACCAATTTTAAATAAAATTTTCTAATTCTGCGTTACACGCTAAAGAAATTCACGCAAATGTTTTTCAGATTGCTTTTTATCAGTAAAAGCATTTCAGCTGATTGTTAATTATTTAACGGAAATTATTTTTAATAACCAATCATTTTCTTGTGATCCTTGAGAGATGGAGTATCATCTTTGTGAACATAACGAAACGCCCTTTTTTCTAAAAATTTAACAGAGAAATAAAAGTACTTAGCAGTTTAACTATCAGAGTACAATCATATGCATGAAAGTTTAAAGAATAACTTATTTTTATTAAGATTAAATTAAAATTATCAATATTTGTGCTACATACAAAGAAAAACCACGAAAAAATCCTTTAGATTGCTGAACGGTGATAGGACTCCAGCTAAATGTTCATTAGCGTAATAAAACCGTTTTTTGTAACCAATAATTCTTTTTATCATCCTTGACAGACAATCTGTAAATCAATCTTAGCAAATGTTGTGAAATACTCTTCTTAGATTTTTAATTTTTAGCACAATCCAAAAATCAAAGTAACTTGCAATTTAAATATCGGAGTAAAATCACATTTATAAAAACTATTGTAGTAACCTATTTTATGTGAAATTAAATTTAAATTAAAACAAATTAAATTTTGCGATACAAGCGAAGGAAAAAAACCAAAATGTTTTTCAAATTTCTTGGCGATAATAGGATTCTATTCAAATGTTCATTATAGCAAAGGAAATTATTTTTTAATAATCAATCATTTTTTTTATATAATCTTTGATATATAGCCTATCTTAGTAAATATCGTGAAATGCTCTTCTAATTTTTGTACTTTTTGTATTTTTGTACACAACCTAGATATCTAAGTAACTTGTAATTTAAACGCTCCTAGGAGTAAAATCATATTTTCACAGACTTTTTAAATTAAAATAATTGGAATTTAAATTACTCACAGATAAAAACCACGAAAACGTTTTAATAACGAACTAATTAAATGTTAACAGACTTTAATGAGACTCTAAATCTCAGCAATTATTAACAGCTTCCATTTAGTTGTGCTTTTTATGAAATTTAATGTTTTGAGCAGCTTAGATTGCGTACAAAAATGTTTTTATTTTGCTTCATAATTTATTTCGTCTGGACACGTGGCGGTGACTATGGTAATGAGGTATAACTAATTTAAGTAGGGGTGTGGGGTCATTGTTTAGGACGAGTTTTGGCTCGGTTTGGTGAGCCTTAGAGTGAAGAAAAGCTACCCTCTGAAATGCATTCTTGCTTCCATAGCAGCAAACGGCCTCCGAGAGTTTTTGGCGGGGGGCGTTCTTATAGTAGACAAACTACAACTGTTCTAGTCACTAGTTTGTACACTATTTCCACACCCTCCAGTGATCAGTTTGCATTGACATTGGCAAACAAAAGATAATTCCTCGGCGTAAGATTTCACCAATCCGCAAATTACGCATGAGTGGGATCCGAAGTCCGTACTTTCAAGCTAACTGGAATCAGTGAAAATATGCCTTTAATTGTACTCGTCGTTTTCCAAGTTGTGATGTCCTTAAAATAAATATTCAACCATTAATAAAATCAAATCTTTTTTTACACAATGAATGCGTGATTATTTATTTTTTATCAATAAAAAAGTTTCTTAAAAAAAAAATATTATATTCATTTTTTTCACTTCATTTCGAAATGTTTAATCAGCACGCGCTTATCTTTTGTTTTGTTTGTTTTTATCGTCTGCAATTTCAAACTTTCAGTTCCTAGTGATTTGTGATGTGAGTTGATAATCATTCAAAATGTCGTGAATTAGTGTAAATGATGAATTCTTCATACCTAATGAGATCATTTAGATACACCTTTTGATTCGCCCCGGTTTTTACAGAATTCCACCAGAATTCAAAATGATGAAACAATTTTTGCGAGTCAAACAAATTGCTGACCAGAAGTTTCAGCGGTAAGAAACACACACATTTGCTATTGTTTTTACGCACATTTACATGAAGGGTGGGAGGAAATTTAATTAAACCGTAAAACTTTGATAGGTTTTTACTTCGAAGTGATATTGTTTTTATAAAATAATGTTGCAATTTTTAATTAATATCTACATGGAAATAGTTTTTTCTCCCTCACGATATTTTGACATTTTTGATTCTTTCTTTGATTTTTATTATGTCGGTAATGTTTGCAACAACAATTAAGATAAGAATTATTTAATAGGTGTTTGAATTGCAATCTCGTCTTGATTTTTTTAAACCTCATGATATGCAAAATAATCAATGGCTATCTTTGGATTGTTCTGTTGAGTATTCATAAAGATGGGCATTACAGAATTGGACAGAGAGAATAAATATTAGAGATTAAACATTGAAGAATTAAATATTATGTCAATTTGTTCTGTTTTTAATGACATTTTATAAAAATATATAAGGTCACATGGAGGAATTACGTCTTAAATTTTTCCTGGGTATGAAAGATAAAATTATTAAATTTGGTATGGAAGCAGAAATAATTAATAAATTGACTTAATCTCCGGTTTAAAAAAACCCAGACTGGGTGGGTTTTATTAGACTTTTTTGGGTTTTTTAAGATATTACCTAGTTTAACACTTTTTAGATTTAAATTTTAATTAATAAGAAAATAGTTTTAATGAAAAGAAAACTTTTATACAAAAATAATAGTTAAGTTATGAATTAAAATAAAAAAGTTTTAAATTTAATAGTTTTGGTTTAAAAATTCCAGACTCAATATAAATATGAAATCCCTTAAATCTATTTTTCTTTTACCTTATTCCTTATTAATCTATTTTGATTATGTTTATGAAAAACCCATTTAAGCCCAGGTTTTTTAAGTGTTTTTTTTTTTTTTTTTTAAGAAAACGCACCCAGTTTTTCTGGGTATGTGGGTGGGTCAAAAACTCTCCTTAATCTTAGTATATGTTACATGGTTTCATAGTGTATATGACATGGTGACCTAGGTGGTGTTTAAGAGGGTAATAAAGTTTTCTATCTGTAGTTGTAGATTTGGCTTGACGTTTATTTTTTTAATTTGTAACTGGAATTATTGGAGAATCAAATGTATTATAAATGATATGGGCAAGATTATATTAGAGAGTTGGATGTTTGACGCAAATTATGATGATGTATATGATGTATTGTCATTGAGCATGTTGCTGTTATGATGATGTGTATGAGAGTTTTGTCATTGGACATGTTGCTGTTATAATGATGTATATGACAGTTTTGTCATTGGGCATGTTGCTGTTATGATGATGTATATGACAGACTTGTCATTGGGCACATTGCTGTTATGAAGATGTATATTACAGTTTTGTTAGTAGGCATGTTGCTGTTATGATGATGTATATTTGACAGCTTTGTCATTGGGCATGTTGCAAAAATGAGAAGTTAGTATTGGCAGCTGATATTTTATGTCGCAATGATGATTTTTATTTGCGTAGATGGGAAGAGAAAAGTATTGACATAATGAATGTTTTGTTTTTAGACGTATCATTTTCTACAGAAATTTAATTTTGGTTTTTAAGATGGTATTTTGTGAGACGTTTCCCCCTCTTTCTGCATAATGAATATTATGGTAGACTTTATTTAAAATAAAATGTGTGTAAGAAGTAGATTTGTTGTGTTTGGTAAGAGTTGACTGTGGAATCAATTTTTTATTACTGGGCATGTACTAAAGCGATGATTAGAGATAGATATTATTTCAAGGTATTTTGTTGAAAAGAAATAGGATACACTTTTTAATGGTAAGTGAGCAACTTCAAAGTATTTATTATTGTATCTTTTTTATATGCCTGTTCCCCGTGGCAGAATCATGGCGACATTGTCGCAGAACTTTACAGAGTTCTTGCTGAAATTTTTTCTTTTGGGAAATAAAAAACTTTGCCTTGCTTTTTTGCAGAAATTTACACGTAAAATTTGAATTGTGCATTCAAATAATCACTTTTCGAAGCACTCGGTTTGTGCCGATATCGCAATTCCATGTGGATTGTATTTTCCGCTGTTAATGTTGGAAATTCAAATTGCGCATTTCATCACTATTTCTTAAAGCAATGATTCTATAATTTTTTTTGGCAATTATTGCTTTTAATTTTCGCATAGTGTTTAAAACAAGATACTTTTAAACAATATTATTTATTAAAACAATCAAATCTTGTAACGAAACTTGCATTCGAGTATCCCCTTTTTGAAAAGTCTTATTCGTGTGATTTCATCATCTATCTGTTTTTCGCTAATTACTGCTGCAGATTTCATGTTATTTAATTATTTTTTAATGTGATGATGATTTGCAAAATGCGATATATGAAATACTTTGTGCGTTATACCTCCCCCCCCCAAGCAAATTGTGTGAATATCGCCCAAAATATTAGAGTGAAATAAATATTACATACTCAATTGAAAAAAAGAATTTTTTTTGTTTCGTTTTTGTTAACTTAAATTAGTAACATACATCTTTGCTATTATTTTTATATTCTATAACCGTCGTTGAACAGCCGACCCAATTTTGGGTTTACGACTACTTATGTTCAACTCCTTAGCCTTGTAATTTTGAACCCAATCCAGAAGACAAGGGAACTCCTGGATCAATTATTGAGAGAAATTTGCCTTCCCGGAGAACTTTTTGATGGAACTAACCTGCATTTGCGTTACATGGAGAGGTTGACCACGAGAACCTCCCACGATTAGCCTGGCGGCAAGGGGACTCTAACCCACAATCCGTCTACCACTGAGGATAGAACTGTGGTCAGTGCAAGCCGGGTGCAGAATTTGTATCGACCAGTTATTGCCGGGATTGAACCCTGGTTCACCTCATTAGAAGGCGAGTGCTCTATCCCTTGAGCCATAGTGGCTCATCTTTATTATCTTTGTTATTATTGTAAGTATCTTGCAGAAAGATATCAGTGCTAGAGAGTTTTGTCGCAGAAAGCCTAAAATTATTGTGCCACAGGGTGCCTGATTAGCATAAATGCTGTTTAATAAAAGTTTTGTGTTTATATATTGCTATATGTTGAGTTTTTTTTTAATTTTGTACTTTTTGTGCCACTGCCCGGTATACCCCACATTGATGTTCTCGTAAGGTTAAGTGCCACTGCCTGTTATGTTTTTGCATTTTCAAGTTAAAATCTGCTATGGTTTTTGCCTAAGCAAATACTTGGAGGTAATTGTAAAAAGTTTATTTCGGCATTGGCAACAAGTGTTAACCAATGCTCCATTTTATCGCTAGCGACAGTTTTCAAGATTGCACCAAGTGTGTAAACAGTCCTGTAGTTGGAAAATAAATTTGGGGGGTCCTTATCTTTTGGTAGGGTATATAGCCGATTGATTTTTCTCAGGCCAAAAAACCACGTTTTTAAATTACTTGACATGGTTTTAATTTTTAAAAAAAGCAGAGATTAATTTTGAAAAAAGGGGGATTGTTTCCAATTTGCATTATTTTTTATCTTTCGTATCATCATCATAGTTGGTCATACAGCCCAATGTGGGCCAATACCTTCCTCTGAAAATTTCTCCATAACGACTTCTGATTTATCTTTGATCTCCTGTTCTTTTCATTAATTTGCAGGAAAATCAAACTCCACCGAATCAGCCCATTTCAACCCCGAACTTTTGTTCCCTTTTTTTTTTTGTTGTAATTATTAATATCAGGTTGTTTATAAATCTTGTACAGTTCAAAGTTAAATTTCCTTGTCCAGTTATTGTTTTCATTTACACCATTAAGTATACTTCTGTCAGAATGAAATTTTTTTTCCCCGAACTAAGGAGAAATTTCTTTTAGAAATAAAAGAAATAATGAACAAGAGAAAAATAAATTCGTTTGAAATATTTTTTAAATATTTAAAAAAAAAAATTTCTGCTACAAACCAAATATATCAGGGAACAGCGTTCTTCCCCTTTCCTTCCAACTACAGCGCTGTGTGTAACATATTCTAGGATTTCCCCAAGAAATTAGTGTTGTATTTAACTAATACAAAGATTTATTTTTTAGAGCTTTTTATGATCTTTTTTTTCCTCTATGACCACTATTCTGGACATTTGTATGCTATGTTTATTCTATTACTATCAAGAACGAAGAATTACTTCCATATAAACTGACTGGCTCATAGAATATATATTTGTTTTTAATTTTTTCCAAAACATCTCATTTGGGTCAATGAATCATTTCAACTTTTTTGTAGTCCGAAATTTAAATTCTTCTTCTTATGTAAAGTGGGTCATTATTGTATATATTTATACTATAATTGTATATTGTATATATTTATACTACATTATAAATATATATATTTATATATATATAATGTAAATAGTGTCTAGAATGCGTTTCTTGTACCACTTTTTTAGCATCTTTTAAGGAAGAATTTTTTTGCTACCAGGAGTCTGTTTAGAAGAAATTTGGGTCCGTTAACGGACCCTTCACAAAATATTTTAACTTAAAAACGGACCCTTCACAAAATATTTTAATTTAAAAACGGACCCTTCACAAAATATTTTAACTTAATAACGGACTCTTCACAAAATGATTTTTCTTTTAATCGGACCCTTCACAAATTTGTTTACCTTCATTATTATTTTGTTAATAGAATAAACCCTTTCCAGGGCAGAAAACAGGAAAGATGGATGTAAACGAATTAAGTTTTGTCTTCGGCAGACGATTCTTCCATTATTCGTCCGAAATGAATATTCTGTGTTCAGCAGTGTAGGCTAAATACCAAATATTTGTATGTTACATCTCTAATTTAGAAGCAGCAATTGTTGTTTATTTTTTAAAATTTAATTTTTTTAATTATAATTTTACAGTGTTGAGCATAATCTTGTATGTCTTTACAATTTAAAAACTTCATGAAAAAGTTTTTTTGCAATACCGGACCCTATTTGCACAAATTCATAAAAGCGGACCCTGACTGAAAGAATGTGAGTAATTTTTTCACAATTTCACGAAAAA